CCCCAGATGACAGAGAAACAGGTGCAAGAGGGGGTGTTGAAAAGGTACCTTAGGCTCCCTCATCACGATCTCTCATGGAAGAATACTTGCTGAACAAAAATGTTTCAAACTGTATTTTAAGCACATACATGATTCTATTTATTAAACAAAGCCCAAAACGATACAGCCTTTGGGAACCTGGGAATAATAAAGTGACTCACGGCTGGCCTCGGTGACTCAGTGGGAAAAAGGGAATTCCACCGCCCACGCCTCCTCTTGAAAAAAAAAAATCAATTTGCTTTCCCCGACAGGTGATGGGAGCCTCTGCCATCAGATCGAGCCAAGAAAACCATCCAACAAAACAAGAAACCCGCTTCAAAAAACTTTCAGTTGTAGAGTTGAGTAATTTAATGTGGGCCTATGTCCAGCCTACGCCCCCGCGGGACACAGAGAACCCGGGAGTGGCTTGGCCAGGGCCAGGGGCCTGAATTAAGAAGGACTTACCAGCTGAAGAATTCCAAAACCCTGTGTCACATGGAGAAACCTTCCAAAACACTGGATCACGCCAGCCTCGAGAGTCGCCCGCAGCCATGGTAACCCTGTCTCCTCAACCACACGGCTTGTGTTTTTGTGTCCTTAGATTTTTTCCTGTTTTGCAATGTTTTGCTGGGACCCCCGACTCTGCTCGGGGCCAGGGGCCAGGGGCCAGGGTTCCTAGCGAGGGCAGGAACAGCCTGGCCTCCCAGCCTGACCTCCCCTGGAAGGCTACGCATCTTTTTTTTGCAGAACACACAGGAACAGAACTATCCTCTTGACTTCTCTTTGACATGACAAAAGACATCATTTCAGAGCTCAGAAAAATGGCATCCCAGGGTTCCAGATCTTTCCCCAGTTGGGGGCTAAACCCAGGGTATCTGGTTTGATATCTTTGAACCTCAGTCAGCTTGTCTGTAAAATGGGGATAATACAGTCGCTTCTCGTGGCGGGAGGGACAATGAAGGGGGACACACCACTTTTAGCATGCCACATGCACACTTAGTACGCACAGAGATAATCTTATAATTGCAAGTGCAGCAGCAAACAGCGTACCCCTGTTCCCAAGGAACTGACAGTCTAGTATGAGAACCAGGAGACCCAAGAGAGAGCAGATAGACAGGTGAAACACTGAGTGCCCCCTGGAGAATAAAGCGTGTCAAAGGGACAGGAGGAGACGACATTGGGCTGGGGGTTGAGCCATGAGTGTTTGAACACGAACACCTCCCAGGGAGAGTAGCTTCTGAGTAAGAGGAGACACGGTGTGCGAGGGAACAGAATGTTACAGAGCCAGCAGCACAAGCGAAGATCCTGAGGCAGGGAGGAGCACGGAGCAGCTGAAGACAGAGCGAGGAGGGTTTCTCTGCAGCCGGGAAAGCCAGGGGGAGAGACGGTCAGCTGAGATCAGAGGGATGGACAAAGGCCGGGTCTCACAGGTCCCTGCAGGTCCTACAAAGAATTAAAAATAGGACCGAAACTCACAATAATCCTTATGATGAATGCCACTATAAATAGAACCGCACTTTCCAAAACATGGGCTCTCCTAACTCAAGGGCTCTGCAGCCCCCCGCCTTGCTGGTTTTCCACCTCCTCAGCTGGTCCTCCTGATGGAGGAGAAAGTGCCAAGCCCGTTTTAGTGGACAGCTATAAAAAGCACGCTGAGGCTCCCGGTGCCGATGACCAAACTCTAGGGCTAAGATTAGCCCGAAGCTGTCACCTTTCCTAATGGGAGCAGCAGCTGGGATTCCCCTGCCTTGGAAAACTTTGGCCACCCCACCCTACATGCAGCGCCTACTGGCCAAGTGTCCATGGAGATGGACACAGGACCGGTTTTGGAAAAACCAACTTTAGCTACATGGATCTCCCCTGCAGGAGGTAAACCCTCGGGGTCAAAAGAGCGTACTGGGAGCCTGGCGAACATCGAGGTTCCCCATCAGGGCTGAGAGGAGCCACACGCCCATCTCACGGAAGCCCACTTCTTGGGGGGATACATGGGATGTCTCGGAAGCCTCCCTGGTCCCTGAGATCCTGGAGTTGATGTAAAAGACTCTCCCCGATGAAACAGATACTGCACCCAACGATTCAGCAGAACTAGGCGTTCTCCACCACTACAACCTGGTTCAAGTCTATGCTTTTGGGGAAGGGGAAGGATCTTAGAGCACACCAACCCTGGGCGGAGCTTTCATAGAGCCTGGAGCCAGACTGCCCCGACTTGAGTCTTATTCCTACGATGTAGCAGCTGTGTGACCTTCGTTAAGTTGTCTAACCCCTCTGTGCTTAGAGTCTCAGCTCTAGAACATAGGGGGAAGTCGCTCTTTTGGAGTCCTATCAGATTGAATAACCTAAGCAAATGCTTAAAACAAAGCAGAGTAGCCATTACTTTTGACCATTTCCTGGCTTTCTGGGTGAACTCTCCTTGTTCTTCCATCAAGGAGTGCAATGGTAACAAAAGGAAAGAAAGGGTTTATTCAGCTACTGAGTGTGGGTCAGAGTCCCTCATTCCATCAAGGTTACAGTGTCAGGAGCTTGAGGCAGCTGGTTGTCTAACATCCGTAATCAAGAACAGAGATAAATGAGTGAGCTCACACTGCCTGTTTGCTTCTTATAGGCAGGTAGCTTTTTTCTTTTTTCCACTCCTAGGCCTAGGGAATGGTGCCACCCATGGTGGGCAGTATCTTCCCACATCAAGGCAGTTCTCTGCAGGGGTATCTATCAACCTGATCTAGATAATCCCTCATTAAAACTCCCTTCCCAGGTGATTACAGGTTGTGACAAGTTGACATTAAAAACTAACCATCATATAGTCTGACCTTAGAGTCTGGGCTTGGGACCATGCAGCTGACAGCCCCACCCCCATCGCCTATGCTTGTCCAATCCAAACCCACACACAGACATGTGCCTCACACAAGGCATGTGGCCAGAGCTCTGAGGAGGCTGGAGAACCACCGAGATAAACCCAAGTGTTCAATAGCCACAAGCTTTGATCTCAGGGCACATGACTCCTATATGCCCCCAACTCCAGGGGCAGGACTAGTGTTCCAGTTCACAGAGAGAGGCAAAAAAACCACAGGCTGAGGTTACATGCTGTCTACAGGTGAGGGCCCTGACCTTGACCATCAGCTAGAGGATGCTGGGTTAGATAGAAATGTGCCATTATGCTTGTCCCCACTGGCTCCCTTGATTTTACAAGGCCAAATGCTTTCATAGGGAGGTCGCGGTGCGGATGGTTCTGGAAACCAAGAAGGGCTGCACAGCAGCTAACGGCACTCACTCATTCAGCAAGCAGTTCATCAATGCTACTGACCAAGACACCCAGAGATGGCTGGCAGCCTCCAGCAGGAGGGCCTCAGTAGGCTCAACCCTCTCATCCTTTCTTAGATGTTCCTTCCTGTCAACACCCTATCACCTTGGCCGTGAGTAACAAACGTGTTTATCTTCTTAGTCTGATGCTTTAAAGTACGTTTGTCTTGCCATGCCTGAGGACAGTGTCCTCATCCTGGAGACGCAGCCAACCTGGAGAAGGTACCATATCCTGCACATCTACAGTCTGTGTCAATCACATGCACAAGTTTCTGCCAAGGTATCCTATCTCCTCACCATGCTGTGGTGATTAATATTGCCAACTCGACAAGATCTAGAATCAACTAAGAAGCGAGTCTCTGGGTGTGCCTGTGAGGACTGATCTCCTCAAGGTTGGTTGAGGTAGGAAGACTCACCCTAACTGCCTGGTTTCTGGACCTCTTGACTACAGATGCAGCCTTGTGACAGGCTAGACCCTTGAACCAGGAGCAAAAGCAAGCTCTTCCTCAGTTGTTTCTGTTTTCATCATGGCAGTGGGAAATGGATCTAACATGCATGCCCAGACCAAATAGAACCGTGTCTCTAGCTGGGTGACACAGTCTCAACAGAAAGGAGCCAGCCTAATAATGCACTGTGGTGCCCTACAGTAGGAGGGGCCACATCCGCTGACAGCAGGTTCTGTGGGCCTATGAGGCATCCACACAAACGTTCGTGCAGCGAGAAAGCACAGTTGAACACAGAGACACAAAAATGTTTCCTTGTAAGCAGAGAGATTCATCCGGCAGAGTCGTGCAGGGAGTGACTCAGCCCCTGCCTCCTGCCTGCTCCCGCTCGGACAAGCACCCCAGGTGAGAGAGTCAGGGATGCTGGGAACAGGCTCAGCTCAGAGAAGGCTCAGCACTCTTAAACAGCAATAGTGTCAACTGTGTCCAGGAAAGGACCTGACCATAAGCCCCTCCCACATGGGGACAGACTATGCTGTCAATGTTACCTCCTGTGCCCACTGTCCCTCAACCCCACAGCCATAGCTCAGACTTCAGGCTTCTCACAGAATTTGCTCTGCTGCCTCCCCGCTGCTGTGACACTCATGGGGATTTCCACCACCTGCTTGCTGCTCTTCCTGTCGCCACTGGAGGCCATACTGTGGTCATCTCGCCACAAGATTCTAATAGAGACCTTTGCACTTAGCTAGATTCGCCCTGCTGTCCACTCCTAGATACCTTACCTATGAAAGATGAGAGCCTAGCTTATCTAAGGAGGTCCACAGTTCATCAGACCCACACACTCACATTTCCAAAAGGGGACCCACATCCCAGCTGGACTTCTTTCCATTGTTTCTCCTCTGCAGGAAACCTCAGTGACCTCGACACTCGAGTGCCTGCCTCGGAGCTGCAAAGCACCCAGTTTAACCTCTTGATAATAGGAAAAGGTATCTTTAAAAAAATGTTTTCCTATGTGAAGAAAACCAAATTATCAAGACAAAGGCAAGGATGATGAACGAGGACAAGCTTTGTCTCCATGGAAACATCCAAGGACCAATGTCACCCACATCAACGGTGACCTGCGTGGCTGTGGGTCACTGAGGGGTGAGCCAGAAGAATGGGAAGTTACCCAATAGGCTGAAGTGTGGTGCAGTGCTCACTTCTGTCTGGCTCAGAGAACGGAGAGAAAGTGAGAAAGCCACTGACCTGTAGTCTTCTCCATGAATACAACCTTGGACTCTGCCGTGAAGTTCTGGCCCGTGAGGATCATCTGCTGGCCGCCGTAGACCAGGCAGCTGTCCATGTCTTGTCTCTCCACCATCGGCAGCTCGTGAGCAGAGCGCTGAGCTGAAGGCAAGAGGAAGAGAAACAGCATGAGCCGGAGAAATCCAGAGTTGCAGCAGGAGAGGTGAGAATGGAGACCCAAGCGGGCATCTCCAAACATCACGTCCTTGGAAGAGCCGTAAGGCACGTGAGCCAATCTGCAAGAATCCAGAAGGGACAGAAACAGGACGGATGGGTCTCACTCTCCCTTGTGCAGAGATGGGCCCAGCTGTCCCCCTCATCAAGGTCTCCACTGCTCAAATGGCTTCTTCTTACACTGAACCCAGACTCATAGCCCCATGTGAGTTTAGGGCACATCCAGCAGAAGTTTGTGGGTGATTCTGACCACAAGCCGTACACTCCACGACTTGCCCCCCATGGCTTCATTTTCCAGAGGCCCCCCTCCAACACTATACTCCTGCCAATTGCTAGAACTTATAGAATATTCTGTCTCTTCCTGTCTTTCTCTCTAAGATAGATAGGTAAATAGATAAATAAACATTCAGTCAGATAGACAGACAGATAATGGACAGATAGATAGAGAGTATGTGGACCCATTATGTATCTGCCTGAGGGTGGAGCCTAGGTCCTCAGCCATTCTGGATAAGCATTGTAACCCTAACCACCAGGCCTTGCTACCTCTTAGGCAAACTACCACCTTTGAATTTCTGTGCTCTCCTGGGCTCTGCCCTCCACCTTATGAGTGACCCCTCCGTCACCATCCCAGGTCCTATTTAACCTGGCCTCCCCTGGGCCACACTTCCTCTTCCTTGCCCCCACCCCACTTTCTCCCGTGCCCCCTCCTGCTTAGCCCTTCTCTGGAGAAAGGCTCGCTTTCAGACACGCTATGCGAGCTGTCCTCAGCTCCAGGAGAGAGGTCCTAGAGATGGCTGAGTGTGGGAAGACAGGTCTCTCTTATCTCTGCTGTCGTTATCCACACTGAATGAAAGCCGGGTGGGACGGGCCTGCATTCACGTTCTCATATCGGCCTTCAGAGACGACCAGCGGAGATATGGACAGGTCCCTGCCTGGTTGAAATGGGAACCCTCTGAAGCAGGCCCAGCACCCAGAGCCACCCCTCAGTCCTACATGGAAGTCGGGCTGCAGGAGACAATGACTAGAGAAGCAGGTGGGTCAGCAGCCACAGAGGAACGCAGGCTGCAGCCAGGCCCCGCCCACTCCCTTAGGCCCCTCCCTCCGTCCTCAGCCCTGCCTTCCTGGTGAGTCAGCTTGAGCTCCTGGCTCTTCTCCTAGAGCTGAGGGCTGGGCGGAGGGCCAGGTCTTTCCATGCCAGGGCCTCTGGACCTCCCCATCCGGGAGCAGGGAGCCAGCCGGGAGCCCGAGCAGCGGCCGCGTGAGGCCCAAACTTAACCCTTTCCTTCCATGTCGGGCACACATCACCGTCTTCCTCTGTCCCCAGGGCTGGGGGAGGGGCGGCGTACCGGTCAGCAGGGACTCCCCAGGCTTCCACTCACTTCCCAGTGGCTTGCCCAGCCCCATGGTCCTGATGCTGTCTGCTCAGGGCAACACCACATCCCACCAGCTGTGGGCTCCAGGATGTGCAGAGGGGCCAGGGATAAAACTGCTAATTCCTCCCACATGAGCATGTTATTAAGCCTGTCTTTCAGCGTGGGAGCCCCTTGGCTTTCTAATTGAACCACAGCTAAGGCAGGTTTACTAGCAGTGAGAAGAGCAGCAACAGAGCAGGCTTTTCAGAATTGCCTTTGATGGAGCCGGGGTGGAGGGCTAGGGGCTGCTGGCGCTGGAGATTCCAGCAAGAGCCACCCCTCCCATTTTACAGGTGGAAAACCTGAGTCATGGCTACTGGGGAGACCAGCCCAGGGCTTGCAGCCAGCCAGGGGGTGGGGGTGGGGCGGCAGGGCAGGGCCGGGCCAGGCGAGCTCTTTGAGGGGTGGGAGCCTGCTGTGAATCTCCATGCACTGCACAAATGCTCCGGCCTGGGGTAGCCTCCTCTCCCAGCAACCTGGGTACAACTGCCATGCTACCTTCTACCCCAAATGTGATGGTGTTTATAATAAAAGTGTAGGGAGAACAAGCCAGCTTCCCAGAAGCCTCTGTGTCACAGTCATAGAGATTCTGACTTAAAGAATCTGAAGGTAGGACCCAGCTGCAATTATTTCTTAATGGTCCCAGATGGCCACAGTCAGCACAATGTCCAGCATCTGTGGGAGATAGGAGTCCTGCATCTGAGAGTCTCCTCTGTGCCATGGTAACAGTACCTGCTTCCCAGGTAAGCGTCATACAGATCATATGTACCAGTAGACATGGTTAGAACATAGCTGGCAAGCCATCTCATCTCAACCAAAATGTCCAGGGCAGACACATGAGTGTACAAAGGGTGGTATGCTCATTCGGAATATTATTCAGCCAGGAAAAAGGAGCAAAGTGCTGGAACCTTGACAATCTCCTTCTACATAAAAGGGGTCAGGCACGAAAAGACAAATTTAGTGTGATGGGAAATGTGTAGCCTGTGGTGGTACATGATAACCTCTCGGTGAGCTGTGGTGTGCACTACTGTCCATTATGCACCACAGTGAGTCCCCGAAAGGGGTGGGCAATGATGTCCAATGCTTGCTCCATGCAGGAACGTTCGGGGCTGAGCTCAGCACAGGCTCAGGGTGTAGCTTCCTACGACACCAGTCTGGCCTGGTCCACCTATGGTCTCTGATGCTTGTCAGTGGCTCCCGAGCCCTAAGGCAGGTTTGCTGACTCGGAAAGGGGCATCTCAGAATCTGCAGCGGCATCAGGTCGAGGCGGTGCTTAGTAAAAGTCCAGAGAAGCCCGGCCACTTCCTGGGGCCCCTGTATCTGTGTACCGAAGGCAGAGGCCAGAGGTGTACACTCTAGTGAAGCAAAGCGGTCCAATTAGCCTCCGAGAGAGGAACTGAAGAGAGACCCTCCTGGGACCCACAGTTCTGCCTGATGCAACTTCCACCGGCTCAGAGGGCTCTCAGGAAGTCCCTGGCTCTCCTGGACTTTCTTCAGTCAGCTCCCATCAGCCCCCAAAGCTCCCATCAGCTACTTAGAGATTCCAGGCCGTCCAATCTACAGTCTCTAAGCAAACCCTGCCTGGGTTCAAGTCCATCCCTGTGAGCTGGCCCCAGCTTGGGGACAGACCAGACCCAGGCTCTTGCTTAAGCTTCCAGGTGGCCCCAAGTCCCTGGATGCTGCTCCTGCCCAGTTTCTGGCACCTCATAAATTGTCTCAGGGTCCCATATTTTTACAAGCTCCGAATCCCCCAGGAGCAGTGGTTCACTTTTCCCAGTGCCAGTGCTGACCTGCAGCCAAGCAGCGAGCACCTCAGAGACTTTGAGGGAAAACTCACGGGCCCTTTCCCATGCCTACAGGGGTGAGTGGCCAAGACCAGGAGCCTCTGGAGGAGCACAGGAGAGGCTGGCCGGAAGGTGTCTCTGCAGAGCCAGGGTTCTGTCAGTGTGGGACAATTACCACAGGAGGACTTTGGGACCTGGCAGGTCATAAATGTGTGTGGGTGGGTGGGTGTGTGTGTGCATGTGTGTGTGTGTGTGTGTGTGTTACATCGTGTGATGCACACAGCACTAAGTGGCGAGGGCCCTTTGTCAGCTGAGGATGCTACAGCATGCTGACAGCTCCAGGTCTAGTTCGACGGTATCTAGCACTGGGTCTCAGCAAATGGTCCCACATGTGTTCGCTGTGTTTACCTTCATTGCCAAATATCATGAGCCCAAAGAAGAGGGATTGCTCTCACTCCAGAGTTGAGGACGCTGCACCAAGGGACACCCTTGAAAGCTTGTGGGTAACAGGGGCAGATGAAAAGGATTTGGACCCAGACTTGAGGACTCAGCCACTGGGAGAAGGGTCCTGTGGGAAGCTGTTGCCCAGCACAGGCCAGAGGTGCTTTCTGCATCCTTAGTGATAGTCAACTGGCCCACACTGGCCTCTCTGACTACGGGATGCCAGGGTCCTGACTTGGAATGGCAGTCTGTCACAGAATATCCAAGCTGGGCCAGAAAGAACTATCCAGCCCTAGCCTCACTGTGACCCCTCACTGGGGGTTCTCCTGTAGTAGGTAGGGACTGTCCATGTGCCCACCAGGGAGTCATTGTCACCACATGGCCTTGGAGGCTTCAGCCTCCTCATGTAGAAAAGGGCCTGCCTGCAGGGAGGTTCCTACCCCTGTCACCTCATCCACAAGGCACCAGGTCTAGACTATACTCTCTTCTTCTTTCTTCTTTCCTTCCAGTGCCATGGACATTCTCAAGCAGACACTCCCTAGAGGCTGCATGAACCTCTCTGATGAGTTCCATGATTAGTGAGGGGCCCAGGCTGCTGAGACAGAGGAGAGAGCTGAGCCTTTGGTCCCTTCCTTATGCAAGCTAGGGCTGTAATAAGCAGCCAGTCTTCCCAAACCTCAGCCTCAGAGGTGATGGACTCAGAGAGTCAGGCCTGCCTGGGTCATTGGTGCCTGTCAATGCTCAGCAAATATATTCCAATATTTCTGGATGAGAAAGCAAGGGGACCACAGGGTGGTGAGGCTAGACGGAGACTGGCACATGCAACCCTGTGAGCATACTGTGTGCATTCCATCAAGGGCAGTTCTGCCTGCCTGTTCCCAGGTGGCCAGATCAGGAAAGGGCCAGCTAGGGAAGAGGGGGAATGTCCACCAGCAGGAGAGCTACCTGGGCCCATGCTCCCAGCAGAACAGTTCTCTTAGCAACTTTTGCCAAGCTGTCCACTCCTTCCCTGACTGGTAACCTGGCTCCTCCTGAGTGGCAGGGTGTGTGGTCCATTCCCCTGTGGCAACTTGTGTTTGCTGAAGGCTCACATGCACCTGCTGTTTCCCAGGCTATGGGCTCCCTATGGTGATGTGCTAACAGCGGGAGGCAGGGCAAGTCCACTTTGTAGTGCTACAGGGACTGTCACAGGTGACCTGTCCACTCTGAACCACCACAGCGGGAGAGAGGACTACAGCTGTGACCACAGCCATGCTGTCATGTGACATGCATGTACTTAACCACAAACCAGCAAGTGGGGTACTGGAACTACTCCTATTTTACAGACAGAGAAACTGAGGCACGGGGCATTAAGTAACTTCCCTGGGACTAAGCAGTTAGTAAGGCTGGATTTGAACCCAGGCCTCTGGATCCAGAACACAGACTCCTAACCACTATTCAAACTCTTCTGGGCCCTGGTGTTACTCAAGGTGGTCTCAAGCCATTGCTGACAAGTTTCTTGGGAGGCAGAGGCTGGCACAGGCCTGGCCTGTGTGCCCTCTCTCAGGGTGCAAATTTTATTTATTTATATACAAGGTCTCAACGAAGACACTCAAGCACCCTGTAACGAGAGATAGGAAATACATAGGCAAGAGTGTGTGACACCCAAGGACCCAGCAACACCTTCCCTGGGTGTTTACCAGGAAAAAAGAAGGCCTTTGTCCACACAAGAATGCTGGTATCTTTATCCTGACACCCACACCGTGGGGCAGGCCAATACCCACTGCTGCTAACTAAGCCATTGTATTCCTACAACTGAACACTGCTCAGCCATCCATAAGGGAAAACTGTTGAATGAAGCAGCAGCAGCAGGTCCCCAAAGCGCACAGCCTGTGCATGCACTCCACTCTACAAAGTCACAGAGCTGGCGATATCCATCACTGGTGACAGGTTGCAGATCGGTGACTGCCTCTCTCTGGAGCCTGGGAAGAGGCAGCAGTTGAGGGGGTGACAGGGACCTGACAGAGTCAGGTGCTCTGTGTCTTTTTAGGAATGGTGGTGACGAGGGTGTATAAAGACAGTGTCTGTACATGTGTGCATGTGTGTGTGCACATGTACATGTATACATATTTTTATGTGTGCATATGCATACCTGTAAATGTAAGTATTCGTATACACATATACATGATATCTGTAGCTACATGTGCATGTGTATATGTGTGTGCACATGTGCATGTATGTATGTAAGTAGTTATATGTGTATGTGCATGTATATATACATGTACATATGTATGTGTATATGTGTATAAAATGTTTGTGTATGTGTATACGCATGAGTGTACATGTATGCATATGTATGTATGTATGTATATGCACATGTGTGCATGTATACATGTGCTACATTATATGTATTTTCACATGTGTAATAAGTATATATATGTCTTCATACACATGTGTGCATTAGTTTTGTTTATATGTGGTATGTATATGTACACATGTTATGTGTATTATACATGTGCTTATGTGACATGTGTCATTTGTGTGTGTGCATCCATGTGTTGTTTGTGTAAATGTTTGCCTGTGTACGTGTGGTTTTGACCCACACGTGATTCTAGGGTTCAGTCGAGCTTGAGCACCTACCCGTGTGGAGCAGTCAGCAAACAGGAAGAGAAATGGGAGGAAGACTCTGCCACTGGAGACTGTGGAGCATCTGGGACCACATCAGAAAGGGCTGTGGCTGAACAGTGACCGCCCCAGGCTGCGCCTGACAACCGGAAGGGGCTGATTCAGAAGTAAAGTCTTTGCACATGTGAGCAGGGTAAAGATGGACAAGATCGGACCCGGGGCTGATGTGGGGCCTAAGTCCTCACCCACGACAGAACTGAGGAGGACCCAGCAGCAGAGGTAGAGAGGACAGGACCCCAGGGAGATGAGGCAGAAACCTGAGCCATGCACACACACAGAGGCACGCAGGAGCTGCCTCCCTCTAACCTGGCAGTTACCTCATGGCAGGCTTCTGCCCCACATCTAAAGGACGCTAAGAGTTAAGCTGCTGCGTGGCTTAAGGAACTAGCCCAGGGTGAAGTCACACCTCCCCCCTGCTGCGGGGGAGGATTGCAGCTGGGACCACTGAGCAGAAGCCTGGGAAATGGCAGGATGCTGAGAACCACGGGTGCAAGGCCATGCAGTGGTGAGCTGTGGCCCCTAAGGCTGGGGTGAGACACGAAAAACCACAACAGGCAACAAGACCACTGTCCAAACAGCGGTGTCCCTCGGCATGGTCTCTCTCTTTTTTTTTTGGTCAGAATCTGAGAACATGTCATTGTTCCCAAGCCGGGACACAGGAGGCACCTTTCCAAAATAAATAAGTTAGCCTTGTAAATATGGGCCAGCCCACTCTGTTTTCCTTACCAGCTCATCCTCCCCAACAGTGTGTCAATTAGACAATATTTACCTTCCACCGTCTGCATCTACAGGTGTGAGTCACTAATTGTCAATATGTTGTCACTATCTGCCTCCAGGCTATAAACCAAGTCAACCAGCCCAACGCAAGCTTAGGCAGTCCTACATGGATCAAGTAAATGGATCAGTAAAGCCAGCTGGCCTGGAAGTGGGGACATTGGCTTGCCAGCAGCTGAAGGTGGCTACACCAGGAAGGAAAAAGAAAAGAAAAGGCGTTGTAGAAGCCAAAGAAGATATTTCACAGAACTAGAAAATTTTGTGATTCCAGCTTTGCTACTGCTGAGTAAAACGGTGAATCATTTTACCAAGAAAGGCTGGGTTCCCTTATCTGTCAGAAGGAGGAAGATGAGGTGGCTGAGACGGGTGGAGAACCAGCAGATTTGCAAGGTTCAAAGGATTTCCAAATGCCCTAACAACCCTATTGAAGGCACTTGTGGTTCACAGAGACTCCTGAAGACCTTAGGGTGATGTCAGACACGGCTTGAGGAGCCCAGAGGACTGGAGAAGACACACATCCTTTGTTCCTACCCTGCAGCTGACCATAGTACCACATTGAAGGTGAGCTGCCCATCCAAAAGAGGAACTCCGTCTGCTCAACACATCCAAAGATCACGAAGAAAGAGTCTATGTTCCCTTCTAGAACAATCCTAAGACATTCGAAATCAAACAGGATAGGGCGGCTCCTGAGACCAGAGAACAGGAGTGAGCATGTGGCTGTCGCCCTTTGTCTCTCCTTCCCTGATGGTGGCTCCTGGGTTCCTAGCTCTGAACAGACTCACTAGCACTCCAGCTTTGCCTGGACCAACTGCAAGCCCCCGCTGGCTCTTCCCTGGTCCCCACCAGACCGAGCCTGAGCCCGTGCAGAGGTTGCCCTCTGTCCTTGCTTCCAGCCAGAGGGGCTGGGGGTCAGTTCTATACGACATTAGAACACGGTCCTGGACTTTCTCTCTGTTCATTCATGGCTCACGCCCGCTGGTAAGTAGGAGCCTCTCAGATCCTGCCTGGCCCTCTGAGTATCTTGAACTCACTGCCATTTTTAATCAGTAGAGAGTGTGAATGTCTGGGGGAAGACAGAATCCAGGGCTTCCTGCATGCTAAGGGCAGACTCTACATTTGAGCCATATCCTTCGATGATTGTTAGTTTTGACCCAGAAATTGTCTTCTTTTTTTTTTTCCTGTTTAATCTTTTAAAATCAAAATCGGCCATCCAGACCACGTTTCCATGTGATAACACAGGCTGCTGTCAGCACACAGCTGCCCAGTGAGAAGGACAGAGTAGCCTCTGGTCCCCAGTCTCCACAGCACCCTACTGTCTGCCCCTGCCCCGCCCACTTCCCTTACTTCTGCCTCCATCTCTCCGGCCACTGAAGGAAACAGATACATAAGGGCAAAGTGAGCTTCTGCCACATCCAGTAAAATAAGAAATGAGATGAACCCAAAAGGAATTTAATGAGAAACACGATTACAACATGACGTTACCTTAAAGACAGGCTGAAGGAGGGGATAAGCAGTTTTTAATCTCTGGAATAATATTTATGCTCCCCTCCTTTATTCTTTTTAAAAGAAGGACTGAACTTTCAAAAATGTAACAGCTATCTAGCCCCTGGCCTAGGCCTATAACCCCAGCTGCTCAGGCGGCTGAGGCAAGAGAATTTAAAGTTCAAATCTAGCCTGGGCAACTTAGCAAGATTCTCTTCCTTTAAAAAAAAAAAGTGTTTGTGGAAGTGTCAGTGAGGTAGCATGGTGGTAAAATACTTGCATGGCACACATGAGGTCCTGGGTTCAATCCCTAGTACTTCATGCATGTATACACACATGCATATGTGCATACCTGAGCAACTTTGTCACTCATCATGGCAAAACCCTGCTGAAAACACCAGAAGCTCACAGCAGCTGCCTTGGAAGCCTGGCAGAACACAGCTCTGTGTCCTGCTCAGCATCTTTCCCAAGAACTTTTCTTTTATACCAGGCTCTGAAATTTTTCTCTAACTTTCCATCATTCATCTTTGGGAGCGGGGCCTTGATCTTCACTAAACTATAAGCTTTTGGAGTCTTACTGCTCTGTGGATGCATGACACTCAGCATGACCCCTGACCATGATCCTAGACTGACCTCAGACAGCAGGCAGGAACAGGTGGAAGACTGGGATGGGGAGTCACTACTGTCTGCAAGGTTCTGGGGTTTCAGTCCCAGCCCCATCTCTTCTGAGCACAGGCCCTGGATACTCAGTCTTCTAACCTGTGAAATGGGTATAATGGTCCCAGCCAGCAACCCAAGGTTGTGAGCATATGGCTAGCTGCTTTCCACAGCATCTGTAGAGTCACAGCTCAAAGCCAATGCCACACACTATTGTGAATCTCATTAAATGGAGGGAGAATGAAAGAAAGGAATGGGATGTGTGTTCCAGGAACTGATTGCAAATGTGTCCGCACTTCTGAAGACCAAAGCAGTATTTAAACTTGTCACATCTTCTAAACAAAGCCATCAACCCCTCTTGGCTCCCATCACTTGTCCTACGTTTTTATTTCCCAAGAGAAGTCTCCACAAGCAGACAGAAGCAGAGATCAACCCTCCCCGGGCAAGCGCAGTGTCTGCCCTTCTGATCACCACAGACCCATGGATTCCTGCAGACCACTGCCCAGGGTGGATATGCATGTGTGGCCCCTCCCCCAACCCTGACTTACAGCACTCGATGGGGTTGGATGCAGCCTGCAGGGAGACGATGCGCCCACTGGGCTCCGGGACATGCACTCGGAACACCAGGCGCACACGCGTGTTCTTCCTGCCAATGTCTGTCTCGCCCTTCCGCAGCTCGATGTCAGCGTTTCGGAGCTTTAGGATGCCTGCGCAGTCGATGCTGTGCAGAAGAGAGACAAGGTCATGAGAAGCATCTCATTGAGCAGAAAAAAACACCACAGACTCACCTAAGGTGGTCAAGCAAACACCTCCTGCCGCCAGACGCAGCGGGGAGAGGGGGAATGCAATGTCCCCTTGGACATTACAACCTGAAGGGTATGCCAAGATGCTGAATCAAAGAAAGAAGGAAAGAAAGAAAGAGAGAGAGAGAGAGAGAGAGAGAGAGAGAGAGAGAG